CCGTCGACTATCAAGAATCAGGGATGCTGTCTCATTTGCCAAGGTGTCAAAAATCAGACGGGCTGGTCACGTAATGAGATTTAAAGACAACCGCTGGACTAGAGCTGTTACCGACTGGATTCCACGGGATGTCAAAAGACCGCGTGGCCGCCCACCTACCAGATGGTCAGATTTCTTCGTCAAGATCATGAACGATTGGTTTGAGGCTCTTCATGTTCCCAGAGCGAACAAATGCCATTGGGCTACACTAGCACACGACAGGGACAAATGGAGACGTTACTGGCGCCTGCTCGAGCAAATCGACGACTAACGGGAAGTTAAGTGATTAAGTGATTAAGTGAACTTTATAAGTAAAACATTGAGTCTTTCTCATTTTGTTGCTGGGGGCTCGGGGATGGAGTAGGTGTTGCATCCCCAGGCTCTGCTGAGGGCTTACTCTTGGGTCTGACTTTGCGCTCAGGGATCATCCCTGGTAGCACTCGGGGAAACCCATATATTTCGCCAGGGATTGAACGAGGGTTGACCACAAGCCAGCAAGTGCCTTATCCCTGTACGATCTCTCCAGCCCTTAATACAAAGGTTAAGAGCATATACAACCAGCATTTGGATGTCCAATCTTCTACTTACTAACTATATAACTCCTTGACCTCTCTTCATTTTTCTTATCAATAAAATAGAAACAACAGGACATCAAAGGACTGAAGTAGTAATTAATGAATTAATTCACATCAGTGTTTAGAACAGTGCTAGGTCCATAAAATACCCTCAGTAAGTGCTAGACACTGGCTCTTATTTGAAATCAACTTACAAAAACAGAGATTCCCTGTTGGATATTAACCTGAGGTGTTTTAGATGCCACCAGTGAATTGCCCCATATCCCCCTCCCAGAGAAGCTTACAGTGCTCTTGCAAGCATCCCTGTCACTGTCACTGTCCTCCCATTGTTCATCGATTTGTTCGAGCGGGCTCAGTAACGTCTCCATTGGAGACTTTATTGTTACTGTATTTGGCATATCAAATACATCACGGGTAGCTTGCCAGGCTCTGCTGTGCAGGTGAGATACTTTCGGTAGCTTGCCAGGCTCTCCGAGAGGGGTGGAGGAATCTAACTCGGGTCAGTCATCTTGGCTGCGTGCAAGGCAAACGCCCTACTGCTGTGCTATCGCTCCAGCCCTACAAATATCCCTAATCCTCCAAATTTATCTTTAACCTTTCCTTTGTGTTTCACCTCTCACTGGCACAGTTCCCCAAGTCAATCTTGGTTACTTAGAAGACAAAACTTTCTCTTAACTCTGGATTTTGTATTTGTAGTGAATTACTTGCTTTTCATTTTCCCTATAGCCTTTTCATATTTTACTATAGAGCAGGGCTGAAGCGATAGCACAGCAGATAGGGTGTTTGCCTTGCATGCGGCCAACCCGGGTTCGATTCCTCTGTTCCTCTCGGAGAGCCCAGCAAGCTACCGAGACTATCCCACCCGCATGGCAGAGCCTGGCAAGCTTCCCATGGCGTATTCGATATGCCAAACACAGTAACAACAAGTCTCACAACGGAGACGTTATTGGTGCCCACTCAAGCAAATCAATGAATGAAGGGAGGACAGTGCTACAGTGCAGTGCTACTGTAGAGCAATGTTCTTTTGCTTAAACACAGAAAGAGCCGTTAATGCTCTGCTTCTAATATTTGGGAGTTGACTGACTCTGAAATATATCTACTCCCAGACATTCATCATAATTACTTGACTCAGGCTTCAATTGCTGTAGTTCCTAATACCCCAAAAAGGAGGTCTTGCTGTGGGACTGAAATGGACCCGGGGTGAGTGGTGAAGCTACCCTGGCATAGAAATGGGGCAGTCTAGAATGCATAAATGCATGGTCTTGATGCAAACTATTATAACTTAAGAGACAGGACCCCCATCAGGAAGGACAAGCTGAACTGGCCTGGGGACTTAAATCTGGTAAAAGCCTTGCTTGCTCTCAGAGAACTAAGAGCCCAGAGAACTAAGTTTGAGATCTTTCTCTCTCACAGTGTTTATCCAAACAACTGCAAGTATCGGTAAGAAGTTGACTTAATGGCTTGACTGATTGTTTGATTAACTGTTTGACTTAATTGTTTGATATATACGACTAGAATGAAAGAGAAAAGCAATACAGATATCCCTGGGAGACAGAGCATCTCCTTGAGTTAATCTTCCCCAGAGAACTGCCTCTGCCAGAATGTCTTACCTCTATAACCGATCAATCAAACGGACAATCACTCTGACCCCTTCAGATGCTCTATAAATATGCTAGCAGGTCTGCATTAAAGGGGCCATTTTCATCATCAGTCTGTGGTTCCCTGCGTCTCTTTGTCTCTGCTGGTGAGGCCTGGGGAGGGTGAGGAGCTCTCACTGAATGCAAGCCTTGAGGCACCCCCAACACTTTGTGAACTCATCCCATTACGTAATTTGACTCTAGACAGCGGGTCCTGCCCAAGACCTGGCAGCTGCCTGTCTGGCTCTGCTGAAGCCCTGGCAGCCGCATCCACACCCCACTACTGCCGCCAAGCCAACAGCCCCACTCCACAGCTTCACTAAGGATCTCAGCAAATGCATCCCAGCTTAACAGATCCAGAAGTCTCTAGACTGGGTGGCTGCATTCCACAGTACTGAAATTTGAATAGGAGCACACCAAATTAGATGAGAAAGCAACACAGAGGCCAATTAAACTCACTTGTATCACTCATCATCATTGCTCATCGATTTGCTTGAGTGGGCGCCAGTAACATCTCCATTCACCCCTGTCACGTGCTAGTGTAGCCTAATGGCGTCTGCTCACTCCAGGAACACCAAGTGAGGCCCATTATTGTTACTGTTTTTGGCATATTGAATACACCATGGGAAGCTTTCCAGGCTCTGCTGTGTGGGTGGGATACTCTCAGTAGCTTGCTGGGCTCTCTGAGAGGGTCGGAGGAATTGAACTTGGGTTGGCCGTGTGCAAGGCAAATGTCCTACCCGCTGTGCTATTGCCCCAGCCCCCCAATAACTAGAATGCTCAACCTTTGACAAACAGCTAAGTAAATCCTCAGACAAAGACTTAACCTCATGGTGAAGAAACCTCATGGAACAATTTTCACATATTTTCTTTTCCTTAAGTATTTTTGATAATCCTTTTGCCATTTGGTTATAACAAGCAATATAAAACAGATTATTGTGTGTGTGCCGTAAGGAGGAAGGCATGGGGAGCGGTAAGGAAAATGGGGACAATGGTGAAGGGAAAGTCACTCAGGTGGTGGCACTGGTGTTGGAACACCAAAGCCCATAACTACTGCATTATGAACGACTTTTTAAACCATGGTATTTAAATAAAGTATAAAAAAATTAAAAACTGTCACTGTCACTGTCCAATTGTTCATTGATTTGCTCAAGTGGGCCCAGTAACATTGTGAGACTTGTTACTGTGTTTGGCATATCAAATATGTCACGGGTAGTTTGCCAGGCTTTGCCATGGGGGCAAGATACTCTCAGTAGCTTGCCGGACTCTCCAAGAGGGGAGGAGGAATTAAAAACAAAGAATTAAAAAATTGATTCTAACTATAGATTACAGTACTAGGAAACAGTGCTTAAGGAAACTCTCATGAGTTAAACTAGGACTTGGGTGTCCCGGAAAACCAGAGAGGTAAAGTTCTTAAGTGCTGGAACAAGTCATAACTATACTGTCAACTTGCAAAGGATCTCACAATCCAATTTGCCTCATCCGTTCACCTTTAGAAAATACATATTTTAGGGGCTGGAGTGAGAGCACAGCAGATAGGGCATCTGCCTTGCATGCAGCCTGACCTGGGTTCAATTCCCAGCATCCCATATGGTCCCCTGAGCACCACCAGGAATAATTCCTAAGTGCATGAACCAGGAGTAACCCCTGTGCATTGCTGGGTGTGACCCAAAAAACAAACAAAAAAAAACCCCACATATTTTACTTCCACCACCCTCTAACAATATGTATGTAAGTCTCTTACTTCATTTGTTTTTGTTCTGTAAGCTAAGTAGTACTATTTCTACAAAGCTTAACGGAAATAAATACTATTACTTAGTGTTTATGAAGTTAAAAACATGGACAATAACATGGACAGATGACCAAGCAGAAAGCATAAGCTTGGGCAGCCAGTTCCATGGACACATCTGTATGAGCACTCTGATGAGGACACCACAAAATTTGGAAGATGAAATCTGTGAGCTTTTCTAAGATTTCAGGGTGCACAGTTCTCAGGAAATAACAAAAATGGTGGGAATGATGACTTGGTAAAGGTAAAGGCCCTCCCGTTGATCGTCGATTTGCTTGAGCGGGCCCAGTAACGTCTCCATTGGAGACTTTGTTGTTACTGTGTCTGGCATATCGAATAAGATTACTGAACTCTGAAAAACTGGTTTTAGCAGAGATTACTGAAATAAAAATTCACAAAAATAACAGAATGACAGCATTTTACACACTGATTTATTTTAGAAGACATTCTATAAAAATTTAGTGTCTCGTGGAGCATCTGACAGAAAGCATTTTAAAATATAATTTTTAAGCTCTAAATAAAGTTTCTACTTACTATTTATATACACACTTTTAGCCATAAAGGTGTAATTTTGATGACCTCTTAAGCTACATGAGCACTACATTGCCAGCTTGTGGACATTAAAATACACATGTATACAAAGTTGAGGATAATTTATGTAAATGTTATATAAACATTATAAACAGATATTTTACCACATGACAGATGCATACAAATCCTTTTCTTTTCTTTCTTTCTTTCTTTTTTTTTTGAGTGACACCTGGCAATGCTCAAGGGTCACTCCTGGCTCTGCACTCAGGAATTATTCCCGGTGGTGCTTGGGGGACAACATGGAATGTTGGGGATCGAACCTGGGTAAGCAGCATGCAGAAAAACGCTCTATTTGCTGTAATTTAACTCCAGTCCCAAATCCCATCTTTCAATATAGTTTTCATTAATATATTCTTAAACAAGCACAAGTTTCTATTACACCCCTTACACATGAGTATGTGCACACATAACTTTTTCCCCCTGCATAATGATACTATAAAAATACATTTGGTGTAAGAAATAATCATAGCATAGCAAAATGCTGCTTTAACTGCTTAATTAAAAGTTGTGTATCTACATGATCTGGAAACGCAGCTTCGGACTTTTGAGCAGCAACATAGCTTCTCTGTAGATCTCCAATCTGTAAGCAAGATCAGAGAGCACAGAATGAGAAAAATGGAGCAAGGCAGTTTGGAAAAAAAGGCATCCACATACTATGAAAATTCAGGAGGTTCTTAGGGATACATCACTTGGTTATCATTATTACTTTGATTTTAGAAGTCTTTCATGTAGATTATATTTCAATCTCTTAAAATGTGTGAGAAAAATCAAATCACCAATTACATAAATAATTTCTGCTCCATTACTGCTGTCTAGTACAAATTCAAAACCCAGAGTTTTCATATTCAGTCATGATGGGATTATAAAAATAAAATGACATTTGCGTGCTGAAGCAGTCAGCTCTCAGGAGCTTTGGAAAACTATTTGTAATGAACTACAAAGAGACATATTTTGATTAGAATATTATCTTTTAGACAGAAAATTTAAGATCCAATAACCTGCTCTGGGAGAGTCTAAATAGTGCAATCACAGTAATGCTGGGACTTGACACTTTACAACGCGTGTCTCTGACTGTGGGTGAATCAGCGATCTGTGGTGCATGTGAGCAGTGGCCGGCAAATGACAACTTATGAAGGACAGCTTTTTGAGTACAGATGCCTTTGTAATATATGAAAAATAACATTATTATACTTTCTCGTAGTCTGTAAAGACTCCTTATCTCAGTCAACATTTTTTTTGACCTTTCCATTCTCTTCAAACTCTCCTTTGAGGATAAGGAAAGGTTTCTAAGTTAGTTATTAGATGCCTCTTGTCTTCTTATAAAATATGATTCTTTTTAGCTTTGGGATATAGCAGTAATGCCTTGTTTCCCTCTGTACTGTTCTTAGCTAATATAGCTTTTGCAATTATCCTTAATTCTATGGCAGTCTTGCTGACGAGTTGGTGACAATGTGATGTACAAAAAATATACACGCTTTACTTTCTGTAAAAGCCAGTTAATGAATACTTTCTAAACAACAAAATACTAGGGCTGGAGCATGATAATACAGCAGGTAAGGTGTTTGCCTTGCATGTGATCAACCCAGGTTCAATCCTCAGTATCCCAAATGGTCTTCTGAGCACTACTAGGGAGTAATTCCTGAGAGCAGAGCCAGGAGTAACCCCTGAGTATCACTGAAACCAAAAAAAAAAAAAAATTTAAAAGCCAAATAAAGTACTTAATGAGCATTTTTTGGTAACTGTCACATATATACTTAAAATGCATAGACATAAATATAACATCTATCTTTTGGTAAAGGCTATGGGTTGAATTCAAGGCCTCCCATATGCAGAGCAAGTGCCTTACACCACTGACCAACATCCAGTACCCTTTAAACATCAAACTTTTATTTTTTTTGCTTTCTGGGTCACACTTGGCGATGCACAGGGGTTACTCCTGGCTCTGCACTCAGGAGTTACTCCTGGCGGTGCTCAGGGGACCATATGGGATGCTGGGAATCAAACCTGGGTCGGCCGCATGCAAGGCAAACGCCCTACCCCCTGTGCTATCTCTCCAGCCCACATCAGACTTTTTGACATGAAACAATACTCTTTAATCTACTGAATCTTTAGTCAACATTTGTTGATGAATTTACTTAAATTTTATTAAACTGTCCCTTGAAGTGAAGGGATATATGCTACAAATATTAGAATTATCTTTAAAATTGTTTATTCCCAGAAGCTACGGTTAGAATTTCCTTATGTATCTGTACTTTAAACACAAGAAAAAGAAAGCACATCAGAAAAGAAATGTTGGAAAAAGAGAATACCTGATCAGAGATGGTTGCAAAGTTAAAATGAGGCTCGTACATATGGGGTGCTAAAGTTGATGCAGTTTGTAAAAGTGCCCTTGCCTGCATGAAAAGGGGGAAAAAAGAGAAAAACAAAGACATATAAGTACATATCAGCACAATACTTGTAATTTTCTTCTAGGGACTGGCGGAGTAGAAAGATGTGCAAAAGATCAAGCCCGAGGCTTCTGACATGCAAAGCATTCATTCTCCAACTGCCAAACATACCCATCCCTCTATATTTGTTTTCGGGAAAAAGAATTCTTTATGTAGCATACGACCTTAAAAAATGATATTGTAAAATTAGAAATTGAGCTCCCATTTGACCCAGCAATACCACTCCTGGGATATGTCCCAGTGAGGCAAAAAAGTATAGTCGAAGTGACATCTGCACTTGTTTGTTCATTGCAGCACTGTTTACAATAGCTAGAATCTGGAAAAAACCTGAGTGTTCGAGAACAGATGACTGGTTAAAGAAACTTTGGTACATCTACAATGGAGTACGATGTAGCTGTTAGAAAAGATGAAGTCATGAAATTTACATACAAGTGGTACAATATGGAAAGTATCATGCTAAGCGAAATGAGTCAGAAAGAGAGGGATAGACATAGAAAGATTGCATTCATCTGGGGAACATAAAGTAACAAAATAGGAAACTAACACCCAAGAATAGCAGAGATAAGTACAAGGAGGTTTACTTCATGGCTTGGAGACCAGCCGCACATGCTAGGGGAAAAGGCAACTCAGATAGGGAAGGGAGCACCAAATAAAGGGTGTTGGGAGGATCCTCCCAGGATGGGAGATGCATGCTGAAAGTAGACTATAGACTGAACATGATTGCCACTCAATGCCTCTTTTGCAAACCACAGCACCCAAAAGGAGAGAGAAAACCAAAGGGAATGCCCTGCCTCAGAGGCAGGGTGGGATGGGGGGGATGGGGGGATGGGAGGGATACTGGGATCAGTGGTGGTGGAGAATAGGCACTGGTGGAGAGATGGGCACTCGATCATTGTATAACTGAAACCCAAGCACAAAAATTTCTAAGTCTACAACTGTACCTCAAGGTATTTCACTAATAAAATTTTTTTAAAAAATGATACTGTGAAAAATATATATTCCTCATGATATATGATTTACTAACATAATTAAGTACTCACATCTTACCCGAATTATAATCACATACACATTACCCAAATTGTATCAATATTTATGGGTTTATTATTAACAAGTCAAAGTTTATCCCATATTTTAAAACATGAAGGAGGGACTGGAGCGTGGGACCTACAGTGGGTAGGTCATTTGCCTTGCACACAGCCAACGTGAGTTCCATTTCCAGCATTCCATCTGATCCCCCAAGCACCGCCAGGATTTATTCCTGAGTGCAGAGTTAGAAGTAAACCCTGAGCACCACTGGGACATTTCTTTTGGGGGGTGCCCCCCAAAATCAAATAAAATATGGAGGGGAAAAGGAGAAGTGAAAACTCACTACAGGGTAGATTTGCTTGTTTTTAAGTTAGGAACCATAATTTACAGTACTATTTTTCAGAATAGATTTAGTTACTTGTGAAGCTCTTGTGAAGTCTATGCTTCAACATGACATATAACTCAAAAGGTAATATTCTTGCTACTGAAAAGAAATAACACTTCTTAGTCTAGTTTTTGACTGATTTAGCAAGCTTCTAATGAGCTGTTTTCTAACGAAATATCAAAATCCTAAAAGCCATAGTTAAACTTCAAAGTCCCAAATTCTGTACTGGATGATAATAAGCATATTATTATTATTATTATTACCATTACTATTATTGTTGTTATTATTATACTGTTGACTTGAAAATAACAACTGAAATCAATTGAGCAGGATAAGTTTTCTGTTCTCTGAAGTTCTCAGAACCCTATAAGGCTGGAGCCGGTAGGGCATTTGCCTTGCATGCAGTCAACCCAGGTCCAATCCCCTGCACCCCACATGGTCCCCCTGAGCCTAATAGGAATGATCCCTGAATATAGGGCCAGGAGTAAGTCCTGAGGACCACCAGGTGTGTCCTAAAAACAGACAAACAAGTAAAAATAAAATAAAGTATACAGAACCCCAATTCACATCATTTCTTCCCATTGCAAAGCTGGCTCCATTGCAAAGTTCCATTGATAACACAAGTGCCTATGCTAGAATAATTTTTATTTATAAAAGAACAAATCTATCTTGGGGCGATAGCACAGTGGGTAGGGCATATATGCCTTGCACGCATCCAATCTGGGTATGATTCCCAGCATCTCATATGGTCCCCTGAGCACCACCAGGAGTAATTCCTAAGTTCAAAGCCAGGAGTAACCCCTGAGCATCACCGGGTGTGACCAGCCCCCCCCCAAAAAAAAAAGAACAAATCCATCTTACTTGCAGTTGGGGAATTTGTAAATTAAAGGCAACACCCAACGATGGTTCTTGTTTTGATAAAAAGTTTCTTGCTACTTTTTGGAGACCCTGTTGGAGATGGTCCTGTGGTCCTGTCTGGCTGTTCTTTCTGTCAGGGCCTGCGAGTAATTACTTCCTTGGTCTGTTTGTTCACTTCTTCTTTTAACTGCTATTAATGCTGTAGGAGTGTATTTAGCATTCTTAACTTTCTGTTACTTACGCAATAACAGCAACAGAACAATTTAAACTCACACCATGTGCTTAATAATATGCTTTTATTATGCATGTGCCTTGTACGCATCTTCTGCAAACCCTCTCAAGATCTCCGTGGTGTCAGTTCTGTCAGCACTCTATTTTCAACATTGTCCATGCTTGCCACAGATACTTACTGAACACCTACCACCGAGCAGGCCCATCCCAACCAGCGCTGCGACATGAAGTTAGAAGACAGAGAGGATCCCTGCTTGGGTGCAGCTAGCATGTCTACCTTCTACGTATGAATATGAAACAAATTTGATGGAATATGCACTGTGAAGGGCATATACAGGAGAGTGATATACTGAGCCTGAGAGTTCCTTTAACCTGAAGTGAGACCGGCTTTTCCTTTTTTTTTTTTTCTTTTTGGGTTATACCTGGCAATGCACAGGGGTTACTCCTGGCTCTGAACTCAGAAATTATTCCTGGCGGTATTCAGGGGACCATATGGGATGCTGGGAATTGAACCTGGGTTGGACACAAGCAAGGCAACCGCCCTACCCGCTGTGCTATTGCTCCAGCCCCAAGATACTGGGTTTTTCTATGGAGGTGGCAGTTACACTAAAACTTGAAAGACAAAAGAAGGATGTCACTGAGAAGCTGAGAGAAGCACTCAGGCCCGACGGGAAGAATGGTGGTGCACTGTGTAGAGCAGGAGGGCCGCCAAGGCTGCCCCCCACCATCAGTGGGGAAGGAGTGGAGGCAGCAGAGGAGATGCTAAAATTTTCTCCTGTTCAGGAGGCCACCTTTTTATCAGCTCATTTCCTTTGTAGCAGCCACAAAGCTCAACAATAAGACCCACGACCCCATCCGAAACAGGGGGAGGAGATGAACAGATGCTCTCTCAAAGAAGATAAATGGATGGCAGGTACGCATATGAAAAAATGTTCACCATCATTTATTATTGGGGAAATTTAATCAAACAATGAGGTACTATCTCACACTCGTGAGAGTGGCATATATTACAAAGACTGGAAACAACCAGTGTTGTTGGCAGGGATGTAGCGAGAAAAAAACCCTTATTCGCCATTGGTAGGAATGTCATCTGGGTTAACCTCTATGGAAAGGAATATGGAGACTTCTCAAAAAAGTATAAGAACAGAGCTCCCAAATGATTCAGTGAATTGTTGGTTTGTTTTTGCTTTTTGGCATCTACCAAAACAGCAAAAAATGTACATTCAAAGTGATATATACATACCTATGTTCATTAATAGCCAGGATATCCCAATGTAGAACTAAAGTATGAATGGATCAAGAAGCTGTGGTATACATACATAATGAACTACTATGCAGTTATAAGAAAGATGAAATGATGCACTTTGCTACTATCTGAATGGAACTAGATGACATCATGCTAACTGAATAAATGTTTTTTATAAAAAGAAATAAGATACACAAAAGAATCTTGGAACCCAGCAGCTCTATGCAGAGATGCCTCTGGACTCTGCACTAGGCCAATTTCACCGGGGTGCCTCAGATGGGAGCAGGTGTCCCTCCACCTTCCCCCTAGGAATCCCAGTGGCTGCCAACTTCCAGAACCCAATGAGAAGCCCAGTGATACACAGGAGCAGTGATGGCAAACACCAGGACTCAAGGGATAGGGGATGGGCCAGTCCTTCTCATCTCCCCATCCCTATGGGACCTTGGAGGTCACGCCCACAAACTGCCTTCAGCTGCTATTTGAGCTCCTTAATAGCTATGGTCCAGAGACACACAAAAGAATCTCAGAACCAAGCAGCTCACAGCAGAAATTTCTCCAGACCCTAATTATCTAAAATTTTAGAATTCCAGGAGTCTTATGCTATTCATAACAAGCAATACAAAATAAATTATCTAGCATATGCCTTTTCGGCAAGTTTGAGTGGTGGCAGGAAAATTCAAAATAATGGTGGCGGGAAGCTGTTATGGCGGTGAGACTGGTGTCAAAATATTGAATGTTATTCATTATCGTGAGCAACTTTGTGAAAATAAATATAATTTAATAAATAAAAATAAAATGGAGTGATAGTATAGCGGGTAGGGCGTTTGCCTTGCACACGGCTGACCCGGGTTCAATCCCTGGCATTCCATATGGTTCCTCCAGCACCTCCATGAGTAATTTCTGAGTGCAGAACCAGGAGTAACCCCTGAGCATTGCTGGATATGACCAAAAGTGCTCGAGCAAAAAGTGCAAATATATATATATATATATATATATATAAAAAGATAGGAAAGGGCCAGAGGCCAGATTAGGTGAACCCTTGCAGGCCAAGGTTTACAATCCACATTTTATTCCAAATGAAGGCAGGCAGAAGTCTTTAGAGAATGCTAATAAACAAAGCAGTCACAAAACTGATCTTACTTTTGAAAAAGTCACTTGACTGTTCTGAGGATATAAAACAGGATGCAAATGAAAACAAAGAGCAGCCAGGACACTCCTGTACTAGGCCTGGCAATAGAGGATAGCTGGGCAGAGAAAGAAAAGAAGGAAAGGGAGTCTGGAGGTGCTAGAGTAAAGAATGCAGCAGGTCCTGAATGTAGCCTTCAGGTAGGCAACAGGACTTGATGAACATGCTGGGGACACAGGATGACAGGGAGAGGTAACAGGAAGCAGGCGTTTTGAGAGTATAATGGGGTTTAAAATATGCAACCCCCAAATATGCTATACCTGGGCATCATCAACATCTACAGCTGAAGGAAAAATGCACAAAAATTGGAAACCGAAGACCTCTCTGACTCTGCTTTCTCGCTCTTACCTGTCACCTTCTTCCTTAAAACAGGACAAAATGCCCCTACATAAGAGGTGGCCTCACCAGGTCCCGAGCAAATGAGACCTCCTCTGCACCAGACTGAGGTGGCTGTCTGAACATAGCTTGGGAACCAACTCTCCTTTCTGTCAAAGTTCACCATCTCCTTGTCTCCTTGTCTCTTTAAAAGCTCCCTGTTCTTTTTTTTTCCCCCTTAAATTTTTATTAGTGAAACACCATGAGGTACAGTTGTAGACTTACAAATTTTTGTGCTTGGGTTTCAGTTATACAATGATTGAACACCCATCCCTCAACCAGTGCCCATTCTCCACCACCACTGATCCCAGTATTCCTTCTATCCCCCATCCCCCCCATCCCACCCTACCTCTGTGGCAGGGCATTTCCTTTTGTTCTCTCCTTGGAAAGTATCATGCTCATGCTAAGCGAAATGAGTCAGAAAGAGAGGGACAGACATAGAAAGACTGCATTCATCTGGGGAACATAAAGTAACAAAATAGGAGACTAACACCCAAGAATAGCCAAGATAAGTACCAGGAGGATTACCCCACGGCTTTGAGGCCAGCCGCACAAGCTAGGGGAGAAGGCAGCTCAGATAGAGAAGGGAGCACGAAAATAAAGGGTGTTGGGAGATTCCTCTCACAATGGGAGATGCATGATGAAAGTAGACTATAGACCGAACATTACTGCCACTCAATCTCTCTTTTGCAAACCAAAAGCTCCCTGTTCTTGGGGCTGGAGCGATAGCACAATGCGTAAGGTGTTTGCCTTGCACGGGGCCGACCTGGGTTTGATTTCCAGCATCCCATATGGTCCCCTGAGCACTGCCAGGACTAATTCCTGAGGGCAAAACCAGGAATAACCCCTGTGCATCGCTGGGTGTGACCCCAAAAAAACCAACCAAATGAACAAAAAAAAACCCAACTTCCTGCTCTGATCTTTTTGTGATCTTCATTCTCATGTATATTCTTCCAAATACATATTCAAATTCAACATCTGTATGCTGTTTGCCCATAAACCTTCTAGTCTGTTTTCTTATCAGACCCAGCCCGGGGGGCTTAGGAGGGTTATGAAAACTTTGTCCCCACTGAACACTGCCCCCAGGATTTGGGCTGGGGCAGAAAGACGATGGGGTGGGGATGGTGAGTGCAGAACAGTCCTCTAGGAAATGAAGGAAAGATGGGGTGGGGGAGAGGAACACAAGTTTGTCCTAAGTGGGTTGAGGATCCTGACAAGGTCACAAGGGTCCTCCGTGACAGAGCGGGAATGCAACCCCGGCCTGTCAGCCCTCAGAGCTTCCTTCTCAACTGTGACATAACCCAACATCACAGGGGACAGACAGCCTTCCTCTGAAGAGCACCAACTGTCCACCAGGTCACCAGTCAAGGTCACCAACCTGCTCGACATGGCCCTTCCGCATCTCCAGCACAGCTAGGTTGTTATAGGCCTCGGCGTGGTGGTTGTTGTTCACCAGAGCAAGCCGGAAGCACTGATAGGCCAGGTTCGTGTCTCCCACACCCTGCCAAAGGAAAACACAGACACACACACAATTCCATGCTTGGCTCCAGCTTCCTCAGATATAGACATCTGTCCTGCTGTCATAGACATTGCAAAGGGTGACTGCAGGAATTAAGTATGAATTCTGTGCATGAAGGAATATAAAATGAGGCAGAAAAAAAACTACATTGAAGGGGTTGGAGCAATAGCACAGCAGATAGGAAGATTGCCTTGCACACAGCCGACCCGGGTTCGATACCCAGCATCCCATATGGTCCCCTGAGAACTGCCAGGACTAATTCCTGAGTGCATGAGCCAGGAGGAGTAGCCCCTGTGCATCGCCATGTGTGATCCAAAAAGAAAAAAAAATACATTCGGGAAAAAAAAAACCAAACTGAACCTGGACTGGCAATAGCAGGAATTCCAGAAGTTCTCTTCAAGTGAACCTGCACCCCTTTGTTATACCAGAAGTCATATCAGAGAAACAACCTACCACAGCTATATGGCCCAAGTTGTACCAGACATCAGCTGCCTCATCTTCATTTTCAGCCAGGGAGAGGGCACGTTCAAATGAGGTCAGAGTCATATCATACTGCTGGGCATAGAAGCAGCAGAGCCCCAGATTGTTGAAAAGCTGGCAGTTGTAAACACCCATCTGCAGGAGTCGCCTTGTTGAAAAAGAACACAAATTTGGGTGTCAGCCCAAATTTATAAATGTTAAAGCTATATATAATTTACATATATTTACTGTTTGAAATGACTTTATTTTATGTAAAAAAGTTATATTTAAGCCCCACTTCCCCTCAAAAAAAAAAAAACATGTAAAAGCCAGTACAAAAGAATTATCTTTTGCAATAGTACTGGGCATGGGAAATATGTCCAGAGGCAAGGTCAGAACCGGGTTATATAAGCCTCTTTCCACAAACGCTTTGTGAGAGAACCACAGTGCGGAATAAAATAGTCGCATAAAGTAAAATCCACGCATTTGTGTTTCAGAGAGTTTTGGAGGTCACAAACAAATCCCACAGACCTAAATTAAGTTGAACGCTGCATTAAGTGTATACCTCCAAGCATTAGATTAGCTCCGCTCTGGCCTAGGTTATATGTATTTTGCAGTGTAGCAAATTAGACAGGCCCATCAGTGGGTCCCCATGTTATCCATGTGATTTTCAAGAAGCCCACTTTGCACCTACACACTCATGAGTTCCGAAAGACAAAGAACAATGGAGTTCAAATAAGTGAATGAAGATGCCGCACAGGCTGACCAGGCCTGAGGGGCATCAGCTGCCCATGCAGAGGACACCCTCACACTTTATATTTTATGCTCCTACCACACAGCAGTCAACTGTGTTATCGAAGAATAATTTTAAAATTAATTTTGAAAACCAAAAGTAGAAATAAAATAAGTATGTCTCAAGAGAGGACCAGTGAAGAAATTGAAAGCAATGTATCCGTAAAAACTGACAACGCAGGTTGGAGCGATAGTACAGCAGCAAGCAGCCGACCAAGGTTCGATACCTGGCATCCCATATGGTACACAAGCACCGCCAGGAGTGGTTCCTGAATGCAGAGCCAGGAGTAACTCCTGAGCAGGTATAACCAACCCCTTCTCTGCTCTACTCCCCCCAAAAAAAATCCAAAAAAAAATTGACAATGCTTCACCAAGAAGGCCATCCGATGTGGGGTCTTTCTAAGGCTCATAACTGTACTATACGAATCCATCACTTCCTACTCCAAGGTTCTCAGGTACACTGGGATTAATGGAGGCAATAACAGCATGAAATCTTTCAGTAACTACCAAACTGTCATTGGTTGATGACAAAATAACTCTGCCTGTGACATGGTGTCTTAGGAGGGATGGGTATTTGATCATTGTATAATTGAAACCCAAGCACAAAATCTGTAAGTCTACAACTGTACCTCACGGTGTCTCACTAATAAAATTTAAAAAAAAAAGAATCTTATTATAAAGAAGGAGCTTGTTCATTGTGTTTCACCTCCATAAGCTTTATCATTACAATAAAATTATTATCTGAAAAAAATAACTCAAGTTTGTCAACCAGGTGTTTCTGCATGATGCCAAGTATTTGCATACTTCCAAATTATTGATGCCATTTCTAACACGTTTAAAGATTGAGGGTGATTGAATTTGGGATCTCATAGCAATATGTCCTGTACCTTATTTTTTCTTTTTTATTATTCACTGTTTGTTTTACTAATATTTGACAGTAAAGTAGCTTGACAACTGGAAGGTAAAGCTGACCTGTAGAAACGGAGAGCTATTTCTGGCTGATCCGAATAGAAGTGGTTGCTCCCAATGCAAGCGATGGCCTCCACGTGAGTGCTGTCCTGTTTCAAGACTTCTTTGTAGTACTCAGCTGCTGATGATGCGTTGTTCATTTCCTACTCTCCGGGAAGACAGAAGAACAAGACTTTATTCACTGCCAAGAATTTTTTTTTTCTGATTTCACATTCATTCATTCATTCATTCAACAAACACAGCGAATCTATCATGTGCCAAACTCCATTTTAAGCCCCCCAGGGCACAAGACGGATGACAAGAGAAAGCGACTCAATCCAGGAGGTGGCATTTGGCAGGGAAGACAAACAAATGAACAAACATACGAGAGATTGCCAGGAAAAAATGAAGAAAAACAGAGCAGGAAAGGCGAGGAGGAGGAAGGGGAGGAGAGAGGGGGCTGCTTCAGAAGGGGTTGCCAAGGAACCATCTGGAAGAGGAGTCCTGTGAACAACCAATCCTCAATCGAAGGGGGACGCAGGCACATTTGGGGGAAGCTCATCTGGGCGGAGGGATGAGCAAGCCTGAAGTTGGAAGCTCTGGTTGGGTCTGAGGGGCCACACAAAGGTTGAGGAGGCTACAAAAGACAGGGGGGAGGGCAGGAAGGGTGTATGGGGGAGGAAAGAGAGGGCAGAAGGGATGGAGGGAGGCAGAAGAGAGGGAGAGACAATATACAGGAGGCAGGAGAGGCAGCCAGGGGTTTTTGACAGGGTAAGAACTTCAGTGTTGTTCTAAGTTAAGAGAACTTAAGAGGTTAAGGGCAGAGGAGTAACAGAGTGTGGCACCTTTTTAAAAGAATAATTTGGTGACTACACACTGGGCCCATCCAAGTGGAGAAGAAGGGGAGCAGGAAGACCAGGAGTCTCTAATCATGCATTTGATCGTTACCCAAGAATCTCACATCTTGGGACCAAAGAGATAGCACAGGGGTTAAACACTTGCCTTGCTCCACTACAACCCAATTCCCCACACATGGTCCCCGAACACCGCCAATGGTCACTCCTGAGCACAGAACCAGGAGTAGCCCCTGAATACTGGGTGTGCCCTCCCAACCAATGCAAAACATAAAAGACAAAGAGCCTCGGATCTCTCAAAGCCACTGCTGTAACATTCATTATTTATAACTGAACATCAATTTTAAACTTTTTTACAAAACACAAGACCATGGATACATTTGTTGGCTAATTACGAGCTCTCACTTTCCCAAATTTTTCATTGTTTTGTATACAACTATCCCTTAATGTTTTAATATGGAATTCACTCAAAGGTATTAAAAAGAAAACAATTGAAGAAATGTGGAGTTTTGTTATATTTTGCATAACAAAGGTCTCAAAAGAATGTGTTGTAGTTATCACACAATTATGCAGTTGCAATGATTATGCAGTAAACCATGGTAACTGATTCCAGTGTGGTCACCACCCCACGTGTATTCCAAGACCTTCCCTTCTATGGACTGAACAGTCCAATGTTATAATGAAGTTTCAGTACTCAGTGTGAAGGTGGTTGGAGGTGGAGCCTGTGTGTGTGCAGCGGAGGTGGGGGGGTTAAACGGATTATAGGTGGAGTGATCATGACTGGGATACATGCCCTTAAGAAAGACACAACTTGATCATGGTATCTCCCCTCCGGGGTAAATATGCAAACCATAATGCCCCAAAAAGTAGAGAGAGATTATGGGGAATAATGTCTTCCATGGAGGCAGGGGGAGAGTGGGAAAGCGGGGTATACTGGGCATACTGGTGGTGAGGAATGCGCACTGGTGGAGGGATGAGTGTTTGATCATTGTGTGATTGTAACCCAAACATGAAAGCTTGTAACTATCTCACGGTGATTCAATAAAATTTAAACAAAACAAAACACTGTCCTCCCATTGTTCATCGATTTGCTCGAGTGAGTCCAGTAACGTCTCCATTTTTGAGACTTGTTGTTACTGTGTTTGGCATATTGAATACGTCCCAGGTAGCTTGCCAGACTTTGCCGTGCAGGCGAGATACTCTCGGTAGCTTGCTGGGCTCTCCGAGAGGGGCAGAGGAATTGAACCCGGCTCAGCCGGGCTGGCTGCGTGCAAGGCAAACGTCCTAAAAAAAAAAAAGACACAACGAACTGGAGCAAATGGCACAGCAGGGGAAGGTGCCTGTCTTACACTTGGCCAACCCAAGTCAATCCTCAGCACCCCTTGTGGTCCCCTGAAACCTCCAGGGGTGATCCCTGAGCTCAGATCCAAGAGTAAGCCTTGAACACTTCCAGATATGCTTTCATCTCCCAAAAAGGGGAAAATATCTTTAAAAAAAAATCAATGTTATCTTGGGGCTGGAGAAATAGCACAGCGGGTAGGGCGTTTGCCTTGCACGCGGCAGACCCAGGTTCGATTCCCAGCATCCCATATGGTCCCCTAAGCACCACCAGGAGTAACTCCTGAGTTACTCAGAGCCAGGAGTGCCAGGTGTGACCCCAAAAAGCCAAAAAAAATCAATGTTATCTCAACAATAATTTTATTTAAGTTATCAAAAAAAGGACTTCTTGGGGCTGGAGCGATAGCACAGGGGGTAGGGCATTTGCCTTGCACGAAGTCAACATGCCGACACAGGTTCGATTCCCAGCATCTCATATGGTCCCCCAAGCACCGCCAGGAGTGATTCCTGAGTGCATGAGCCAGGAGTAACCCTTGAGCATCGCTGGGTGTGACCCAAAAAGAAAAAAAAAAGAACTTCTTTCCCCCCCCTCTGTGGGGACACAGGAGGAAGACATACAGCCCAGACAAGAAGAGGGTCCTCACTAGGAACCAAAGTGGTCAGCACCTTCATCTTGCAGAGCCTAGACTGAGAAATTTCTGTTGTTTTTAATCACTGTGTTTACAAACTAATACATTTTCCTTCCCAGAGTAATCTTCACATCCAGGCGGCAACATCATTAGGAAGCTTTAATGGCCCTGGAACCCGTGGAGCCCAGGATTGCCACATTTCTGATTTCTTGGACTGCCACATCTCCGCATGCTAGCTCCAGTGTTAGAGCTGCAAAGGGCAGTGTATTACGAGTCCACATGGGCTTCCATAAGCAACACTGGGTGGCTATGCCAACAGACATCAATGTTCTCACAGTTCTGGAGTCTGGAAGTCCAAGATCAAGGCAACAGCATGGCCAGGGTCCCAGGGGGGATTCTCTTCCAAGCTTGCAGGCAGCCTCCACTCACTGAGCCTTCATGTGGCTGAGGGCCCAATTTCCTAGTGTCTCTTCTTAGTAGGGCCAACGCTATCATGAGCCTACCAGCCCTCTGACCTCCTCTAAACAAGTTAGAGGACTCCAAAGCCCCATCTCAAAGTACAATTGAAGGTAAGGGCTTCAAGAGATGAATTTGGAGGCGATCAATTCAGATTAAAACTGGTGGCATCACCCCAGGGGGGAATGGGTGCTGTCCCTCCGCCTGCTCCCTCTTGGCGACTTGGTGGCTGTCATCCTCCAGAGGCCATTGGACAGTCAGGCTTGGGCCCGCAGTGACGAAACTTGTTGGGTCTCACGGGATGGGGGGGGAGGTGGAGCCGGGCCTGTCTTCCCCACCCCAATGAGACCCCAAGTCATCGCCCACGAATGGCCTCTTTGGCTCCTCATCAAGCTGCTCAACGGCCATGATCCCAGAGACTCAGGAGCAGATCTCTACACCCAGTGGCTTTTGGCAGAAATCCCTCCAGATTTAAGTGTTAAAATTTCAGAACTTCAAAACCACATGGCCCTACTGCAGCCACACGACATCATATGTTATTCATAACCAGCAATAGAACACAAATTGTCTATTCTTGCCTTTTCAGCAGATCTGAGTGTTGGGGTAAAATCTTAAATAATGGTGGATCTGGTGTCGAAATAGTGAATGTGATCAAAGTGTAGAGAGAGTAATGTAGAAATCATCTGCCCCACAGGCAGGGGGAGGGTGTGGGATGGGGGTATACTGGGATTTTTGGTGGTGGAGAATGGGCACTGGTGAAGGTACGGGTGTTTCATTGTATGACTGAGACTTAGACCCAAAAGCTTTGTAACTGCTCTCACGGTGATTCAATAAATAAAATTATAAAAAATGGAAAAAGAAAAAAAAAGTAAAGTGGAGTTCATGCACAATTCAATCAGCTAATCAGTGGCTGAATAAATAGCAGTACTCCTACAAAAAAAGAAGAAAAACAAACTGGTGGCAAGCCCAGTGCAAAGCTACTCCAGTCTGAACAGCTAGTTGTTTCAAGGTCTTTAGTTCCATAAAGGATGCTTTAGGATGCTTGTGTACTTGATTGATAGGCAGAGAATTCATTTATGTATCTTCGAGGAATTTTAGAGTGAAATTAACTTATGTTTCTAGTAACCTCATATGGTGTACTTCAAACTTGTTCTTATAAAAACATGTGCTTATATTACATAAACTTAAATACGGCAAATGGATATAAAATGAAAAGTCCCCCAAATCCTGGTCAGTGGAAGCTACTAATAGTTCCCTCAGTATTCTTTTAAAAATGTTCCTAGGACCAGAGAAATAGTACAAGGATTAAGGTACTTGCCTTGCACATAGCTCTCCCTGGTTTACTCTTGGGTAAGCGTGAATGGACCCTTGAGTACAGAGCCATTTTCATTTTCCTTTCCAAGCTCATCTTTTGTCTTTGAGCACTGGTTCATGAGTCAGAGCAGCCTAGTGGGGCACTTTCCAACTAATAGAGGTATGCCTTGGCAATTGCTGGCATGGAATCCTACTTCCTTTTGAAAGAAGAAACCTCAGTTTCCCCTTACCAGCTGCTGCCATGAACAGCTCTATTTTTGCTGTCTTCATTTTTGCTGTTTAAACATTCCTGAACATTCCTAGGCTCTTTCTGTATATAATTTCCCAAAACCATACATTCTGCCCCAGGAGAATTTAAGGGCTCACAGACGACTAGAGATAATGGGGCAATACTTGGGCATATGGTGCAATATAACCTAAAAGGTGTTAAATAGACAGTCCCCACCAGCGCAGTGGGAATGAAAGATGTTAATCTTATCTTAACCACACAAACAGGTCCTAAATTAACAAGACATCTGGGGAAGCAAATGGGAATCCTCTGAGACTTTGGTAAGAAATACAAAGACTGCCCAG